TTCACATGCCTGTACTTTACAATTATTGGTTGATCTTTATCATCATTAATAAAAATCAAAATTTTTTTTCCGATCGATCGCCACATCTGCAAAACCACCGTTTTTGACCGACTTGACCCATTTTATTTACCCACCTTAAAATTATAGATCGCTTTTAAAGTAATTGCATCACACGCAAAGAAAAATTATATAGTATTCTAGTATATTGCGCCCAACCATCAAAAGCTCATATTTTACTACTTCATTAACTCATTCTTAGCTTTGAACTTATAATGAAAGTTTTGTAATATAGGAAGCGAATACAAATAATGCTTACCGTTATTACCGATACGAAAAGAAAGAGAATCCATCTTGCGTGAGGAATTAATACACTTTTTAACTGTATTTCTATATTTTATTTCATAAGATCAGATGATACTCGTTTTTATTAAAGGTTAATTTAAAAACATTTTTTCTGTAATACTGTAATATTGTATGTATTTAATGTTGTGATTTAACAATTGTATAGATCTCTATGAAACTCTTACATTACATATTTTGTTATTTTTTAAGAGCAAAAGGTTCGCTTTATTATTTTTGCCTTTTTTTTAGTACATCATTTTCATTTCATATTTGAATCTAACTTATAACAGGCTTTACTATACTTTTGATTTTATTTCAAATTAATAATGCAATCATCCTAAAGTCATATATTGCAAGTCAAAACTGATAAAAACTTTTTTTTTATGGTGGGTCAGTTAAGTGGATCAAAACAAATATTTTTTCACCAAATCTATATATATAGCATATTTATTACTTACCTTTTTATTTATTATTATTATTATATGGCGAAAACAGATTCAAATTTTTTTAACTTCTATTTGCAAGATAGAAAAGCTGATTAACCGCTTATTTCAAACACTTATATAAATCTGACTACTAACTATAATAATTATTTTATTAGGGATAATAGTCGCTTCTCTTCCTCTTTTCTATCTTGCAATTTTTTAGATTTCTTTATGCGTTGAAGCCTTTTGAGAGAAAAGGATCGGAATATTAGATCTTTGAGGGCACAGACTCGGGATACTGCAACAAAAGAAAGCTCAGCGCATACTCTCTTTCTCCAATATCTATCTTAGCTCTTGGAAGTGTTAATCCTTAGCTTTTATATACTGTAACTGCCCACGCAAGGCAAATAGGAAGTTATAAGCATGAACACATCACATTTTTTAACTTCCAGGTTTGCTGAATTGGTATTATTGAAACAAGTCTTTTACTTTTTATAGTTGTAATGGCGGGACCAGAATAATTGTCAAATTCTATAAGAATCACGCTTGAAAGACAAGGAGGACCTTTGCCTTCTTCGAACAAAATTTCTTGAATTACTCCAATTAATTCATTAACTAATCCTGCTTCAGTCTATAGGTTAGCCCTAAGCATGATGCATGCATTTTGAGCCAATAGTAGGTAGGGCTCAAGACCTTTTGCAGTATTAACATCAGCTTTAGATGCTTCACGACCACCCATTGCATGGTAAGCATTGATTCTGGCTACGGGACAGTTCAAGGCTCTTAATTTATTAAAATTGACCTTATCAACGTTGGCTCTTCGAGGCAGAATATTCACTGCATCTAAAAATAGGTTAGTATTTACATTCAGTGAATCTGAAAGTTGCTTGGTAAGTATTTTCCAATCATCAATCGTGGACTCTCCGTCACGTAGGCGTAGTAAAATATCTCTAAATGGCATTGGTCTTCTGAGTTTCCAGATTGACGTTGAACAACTTCAAGTTTAAAGATCTCTCAAAATTGTTGGTATGCAATAATGCCATCATTTGATAG